TCAGATGAAGTCTCGCTGAGTCAACAGGGATATTCTATGGGACGCAATGCCTTAGGGTAATTACAGAATTAGGTCTGTGTTTGCCTTGATTATTTCCAAAATGTTAACAGAAAAACAAAAATAGATATTTCTTAATAGACAGAAACTTCAAGTCTTTGCTTTTCCAGTTCTAGGTCTCTCTGGTACAGGACACTGAACTTTTCTGCTGTTCCACAACTTAAAGACCTGCTACAAAAACTGCTCTCTTGCAGCTCAAGATTCTCCTTTTGCTGGTGAAAGGTGATGAAGAACGAGCAAAAGCCAGCAGAGTTTACAGTTTACTTTTGTAAGAAAAAGGGAAAAAAAAGGAATCAGTTACAGACCATATTTCTAAAGGATCAAAACGTGACTGTGGTGAGTTCCATTTCCCTGGTCCCACAGCTGCCACTCACTTCTCGTGGGCGTAGCGCTGAACCTCCTGCGCGATGCGTCGGACGGCGGAGCCACCCTGCTCCTCCTGGGCCAGGATGGACATCATGGACTGAGCAAAGAGGTAAGTGTGCTCTCCATGGCACACCATCTTCTGTGAAAGCACAGCACAAACCTCACCAGACAGCAAGAAAACATCCCAGTGCCCTTCTGTGATTACACTGCCATCAGAGCAAACAGGGGAAAAAAACACCAAAGCACAAACAGCTAAACAACAAAGCCAAAACCCCAAAAGCCAAGAGGAAAATACAGAAAAGCACTGACACCACACAAGAAGAAATTTCTCAACCGAGAAACCTCATTTCTCAAATTCCAAAACTGAGAGGAAAATCTATTCTATTTTTATGCTCAGTACTTTCTCTGCAGTATTTGAACACTAAAAGAAGTTCAAAGCCACCTGAAAATCCATGTGCTGTTTCATGCCACTGAAATGCTGGGTTGATTCAGATGGCAACTTTCACACTGATGTGGATGGTAAGAGAATTATTTTCATTTGCCAGGGGACTGACAATACTGATCTTTAGATCTTGCAGTACATGTGAAAGACAACAGTTCTACCCCCACCTTTTTACAATCCATTTAATAAATATAAGAAGTGTCACATAAGCAACCCAAAGAATTCTTGGTCACAGAATGACCAAAAAGCATCAATTTCTGGGTTTTAATTCAGATATACCTTCTATTCATAAGCTTTTGTAGGACATCAAGATTGGCTACAATCCCACAGTGATTTCTATCTTCTAACTGGAAAGTAGAACACTTCTTTTTCCACATAAAAAGGGGGGGAAAAAGCCCAAACTTACAGCAAACTCAGGGAGGTTTTTCTCAAGGTTTTCCTCTCCTCCATCTAAAATTGTTGCCAGAGATGTACGCAGGACTCTGGAAAATACTTCTAGTTGTTGACATGCTGTTGAAACACTGGTTATTTCCCCTTGATACCCAGCATCAGATATAAGCTATAAAAATAAAAACATCACAGAAATCTTGTGTTATTTGCATTTCTATTTCTGATATCCTAACAAATCTAGCAGAATACAGAGAATCTAAGTTTCACCTCTGCACACACTGACTGAAATTCACATTTATATTGTGGTTTACAGAAAAGGAAACCAATAAAGATGTATCAAAAATAAAGCACAGTAACAAAAAATGTAGCAGAGCACACCAAAATATAACATTCTTTTCTTATCACAGCAACATACAAAACTGATTGAGACGTTCCACTGCACCAGAAATCCAGAATTTTCAAACAGAGATCACAGGAAAGCAAACAAACAAACAAACAAATATAAAAACCCCAACAACCTCAACAAAGTATGAAAAAGCAGTACTTCAAACTGGGAAATTACACTTACTCCAACCTGTAGCACAAGTCCTCCCACCAAGGTGTCCTTTTACTAATTAGTATTATCAGGAATACATAAAAGATACAAGCAAGACCACAACTAATAATTGATGCCAGAACAATTAGCCATCTATGGATATTCTTACTCATTAGACTTAAGCATAGTACCTTCACAGTAAAATTAAGCATTAAACAATCAGGATGGGCTTCTGCCAATTTGTAAAAAAGATCTCTCCACGTGGTATGTGCTATCATTTGCTCAAGCCAGGCTGGAGTCTGAAAAGAACAGAGCAACAGAGAGAAATTTAAGAATGTTTTGTTGCCAAGATCATAAAAAGCAAGGCTTTTACCTCTCAGCAGTCCAGTGAGTTGTTCTACAGAGCTTTATTACTGTAGAACAACTAATGGGGATGTATTCCAAACTTCCCAGTTCTCTAAACCTCTGAGGACTCCAATGAGACAGAGCTGGTTTTCTGAAACCAGTTCCTCAGCTAAAGAGCTTTGAAGATGCAATTTCCCTTCCCTTCACCATTCCATCAGATGAAGGCATCTAGGAAGGCTCCTCTGCAGGGACAGCAACAGGGATTGCATGCACACCTCTCCTTCCTCTGTAAAGATGGAATCTGCTTTCCGAGGGTCAAAGTGCTTGATCAGTAAGCTCTTCAAGTGGTTCTCCACAGTCTCCTGAACTTGCATTGGCTCAACACCTGCACAGAAGGAACAAAACTGCTTGGCACAGCAGCACCATCTCACATTTTCCAATGAGAACAGAAACTACTTCAAAATTTATCAGCACAGAGAAGATGAGAGGAGAGCCATCAATTCTACTACTGAGCCACACTGATACAGATTTACAGATTTTCCACCTCTTTTTCCTAAATGCTAAACTGTTTAAGATCTCAGGCAGGTCACAACCTTCCTCCTTCTCTCCACATCAGACACACAAAAAGCAATGCCAGTCATCCCCAGGACTGTTTCTGGTGTAACAGCAAATGCAGGGGTGTCTTAACCAAAAAAGGGATCACCAGGGCTGGGGCACAAAGCCACGTTACTACACAGTAAAATTCATCCTTTTAAATATTGGTTATCAGTAGCTTTGGTAGTATTCTAAAAAATAACACACAAGTAGCAATGAGTAGTTCTACACTTCTGTAATCAGACTACAATAATTTTCGTAATGTAATAATGATGACATAATTAATTCCATTACAGGATAAAAACTCTGCTTATACTGTCTACATAACAGCACTCTTGCCCTTTGAATAAAATTAAAAAGAAGCTATAATTTATGCAGTTTTTTCAACTATAAAACCTTTTATAACATAGTTTGTTGGCCTTTCATCAACATATTGCTTCATTATTCTCCAAGTGGAATAAACCTATTATTATAAAGGATTTAGCCACATACAGGATGACGGCTTTATAACAATCCACTTCCTGTGGATGATCAAATTTGCCAGACATTTAGCTATTTCTGCCAGAACATAGACCCAAAATACTCTGTATCTTGTATCATACCTGTCTGAATGAGCCACTCTGCCAGCAAATTGACAGTCTGTGCCACTGCAGTGTAGTTTTCAGAGAGAAGCTGAATTACATTCTCTGGAGACCCTCCTGCTTGGAAATATCTGATAAAAGGATTACAAAAGAACTATTTGAGTCACATTACACCCAAAAATCAATAGAAGTGTAAATTTAAAGGAAAAACAACAGCACCATTTATAGATTTGCATATGTTTCTATACGAAGTGACACCTATAACACACATCAGGTCACACTCACCTCTTTAACGTGTTGAATATAGACGGTTCCATTATATAATCAGGTGTTGAAAATTTCTTCAGGCACTCCTGCTGGACTTCGGCATCATCTTCTCCCTCCCCATCCTCCTCATCTTGCTGTTCACAAGCACAGTCAGGTCAGCCTCCCTGTCCCGTCTCCCCCCACACTCCCATTTCAGGCTCTTTTTGCCCACAGCAGCACACACACCTCGGCTCAGCATCGCAAGCGACCTGCACCCCGACAAACAGCGATTAATAACGGAGAAGGCACAAAAACCCGCACGGTTTATCCCGGGCCCGGCGCGGCCCCGGCCCTCACACACCCGGCGCTGCCACCTCAGCCCGCAGCCCCCGGGGCCGCTCCGGGACCCGCCCGGGGACACTCCGGGACCCGCCCGGGGATACTCCAGGTTCTCCCGGAGGATGCTCCGGACCCAGGGGAATGCTCGGATCTATGCCCAGGGCTTGCTCCGGGACACGCCTGGGGCTGCGGTCATCCCTCGCCCCGCTCCCCCCGGCGCTCACCGCGCCCCCGTCCGCCTCGCTGCCCCACTCGGCCGCGCTGCCCTCGAAGTAATCGGCGTCCTCCATGTCCGCCCCGCGGCCGGAACGGGCGGGGCGCCGCGGAATGGCGGCGGCGCGGGGCGGGGCGGGGCGGCGGCCCGGCATGGCGGCGGGCGCTGAGGGGAGGCGGGCGGCGCCGCACGGCCCTCAGCGGGGAAAGGAGCCAGTGGAAATGTGAAATCAAACTGCCCTGCGAAGCCTCCCAGCGCAGCAGCAATCGGACGGGAATTGCAAGGGAAGAGGGAAAAAAGGGATGCGTTGTTCCAAGGGGTGTCTTCTCTGAGGGGTGTGTTCTCTAAGGGATGTGTTCTCCAAGGGTTGTGTTCTCCAAGGGTTTTATTCTCTGAGGGATGTGTTCTTCAAGGTTTGTGTTCTCCAAGTGATGTGTTATCCAAGCAATGTGTTCTCCAAGGGTTGTGTTCTCCGAGAGATTTATTCCTCTTCTGGTTGCAGCTGCACACAGTAGTGCACTCCCTCACACCTTCCCTCACTCCTTCCCTCACTCACATGGAAGCATGAGGGCGATGTTAAACAACAGCAACTTAATAGTGTGAAAAATGCATATTTTATGATTGGCTTTTTGCAAATATTACAATGAATATTATATGTGTAATATTAGAAAGTTATGCTGTATGAAGTATTAAGTACTCTCTTCAGTAGTGTGTTAAATATAGTTTTAGGTTCCAACATAATGTTAAAATAGAGACTATCTATGTGGGGGGAGTTATTTTTTAGGAATGAGATACTCACTTCAAGGAACACCTAAATCTTCCAAAGGAGAGGAATTTATGGCTTCTTAACAGAAGAAACTAATTTCTTCAGGCCTTGCTCAGTCTCGAAGACGCCAGGGGATTAAAGGAAACAGTTGACACACAACAGACAGAGTTTCTTGTTTTAAATAGAATGTATGCATAACCATGAAGGATATATGAATATGCAACAAGTGTATTGTTTTAAGGGTGATTCCTTAGTTCACAAGTCATGCTTTTCGTGACTGAGTGTCCGAGAGCATCCGGACATCCATAATTCTTTGCTTTTTATTGTCTTGTAATTGTCCTCGCTCTAAAGTTTATTACTCTAATTGTATTACTATTTTTATAACCATTTTATTATTACTAAACTTTTAAAATTTTAAAAACCAAGTGATTGGCATTTTTCACAATAGGAATGATAAAATGTTATGGTAGAATAGAAAAATAGATGAACAGGGACGAGTCTGCAATGATAACTGATCACATAATCAGGCCTCGTTCAAGGAGAGAGGCATTAGTGAGATCATGTGAGAAACAGTCCCTCTGTCTCTCTTCAGATCCAGTCCCACTCTTCAGTTGGATCAGAGTTTCACTGGGAGAAAGGGGAGGGCAAGGGTGTGTTCTGGGATTTGGAGGCCAGCCAGGAGTTTTGCTGAATAATTATTTAAAAGGTCCTTTATTCTCATTCTGTTTCTAACTGAAAAATAGTATAAAGAAATGACATGGCCTTCCATGCGTTGCTTGGTAAGAAAGGCCAAAAACCCCCTGCTCAGAAATAAGTTACAGCATCTCCAACAGACAAAATCCTTGTTTAGATGTGGTTTATGTGCTAATCAAGGGATTTGCTGCACTCCCAAGTTCAATACAGAGAATGTACCCCAGCACCTGAGCTGCAGCACAGCAGAGTTGTGCTGTCCTGTGCTGCCCTACAGTGGTGAAACAGCTTTTCCTGGAACACTGCTCCGAGTCGGGAGAGCCCGGGATAATGTTCTTTTTGCTCTGCCAGCAGAAAGGAAAAAAGGCTTTTTTGGGATAAACCACATGGATTGAAGCAGAGCACAAGGGACAGGTTTTCCACGTTTTCCACTGCAGGCAGAAGGACAGTGAGGCCATCCCGATGCCTGTGGTCGTTTTTTATGAGGGACAAACTGGGAGTGAAGTGACAAGCTGAGGCTGGGAGCCAATGGAAATATCCTTGAGAAAAAGCTTTTGGCTCATCTCTATTTGGTTAGCAGGCAATTTCCATCCCACAGATGTGAGAAATAATAATGAACTTGGAACAGACAGAGTGATTAACCAGTCAGAGCTTCCTAAGAAAGTACCAGATCTAAATGTAATCCATCTCAAACCAAGAAAGAAAAAATACTGAGAGTCTCGTAAGAAACATCTCTACACCTCCTGTATCAGCTATTGGGTGTAAGACAAGTTCTTTGAAGGTGATTTCAGAGTAACTATTATAATAACTTAACAGAAGGTTCAGAAAAACTTCAAACTGGAGAAAAAGCGAGTCCAGGACTTAACATTGCAATAAAACTGAATGGGAAAACCACAAGTCTGAGACTTCATGAGGCTTAGGAGGAGATCCTGGTTCTTTACAGAAAGTTCACCTAAACACACTTTGCATGACGAGTTTTATATAGGTAGGAGAATCTTCCTTCCCACAACCAAAATTTGCTGTGCATCTCCTGGGCAGGACATTGGGATCTGCAGCCCGGATAATTTCATTGTACCAGAGCTCATGGCCTGAAGCACTCCTAGCCTCAGTAAAGCGTTTTCAGAGCAGGTAAAAGTTTTGTCTGGTGACAACAGTTGGACTTGGGGGACCTCAGTGGTAATTATGCTACAAAACTTCCTCCTTAATTGAGTAGAAAATGGGAGCAGTCCCCAGCACCAACTGCCATTAAGAGACAGTTAAGATATTTATGATACAATTTCAGTGCCTGAATCTTAAAACTAGAAGTTTTCCATCTTTATATATTTATATCTCTTTATTTTGATTGCAGTAACAGAAAAATATTTTTTTAATATATAAAGAATTAACAATACTCAAAGCATTTACTTTCAGCTTCCCTTGAGAAGGAAACTAGAGATCTGTAACAGCCAGACATTTGCTGAATAGCCCTTTGCAGAATTGCAATATCCAAGCTTGCCTCACTTCAGGTCAATAAACAAGAGGTAAAGTCAGATTAAACCAAACACTTTCAAGATATCACTTAAAATGAGATGAAATATTAAATGTACCAGAAATTGATTTTGCTAACTAAACCTTTACAATTTTGAATGGAAACAATGTTGGTTGTCTCTTGCGTTTAACTGCATTCCCCCATAAGGATTTGTGTTTTACAAAGTATCAGTGAAATGTTCGTGACTAAAAGCACTTAGATTTACCTGAATGTCCCTGAAAGGATTTATTATGCAGCAAATTAATGTAACAAATTTCCCCCTAAATGCATATTTGACTACATTTTATGTGTAAAATATTCTTGAGTGACAATTTCTATCTAATGAGATTTTGATGAAGCAGAGAGCAAACTTTGAGATAAAGTTTGAGACAGAGAGAAAATTTGGAGCCCGATAAATATCCAATGAAAATCAGCTTTGGTGTCTCTGCTGCATGGTTTGAGGAAGCAGTAAAGGCATTCTGGAAAGTGAAAGTCTGTGAAGAAGAGCCAGATGTACAGGAACATGTAAAATTACATTATTTTTTCTTTGTACGTTTTTTTTTTGTTGTTATTTAACAGAAAAATAAACAAAGTATCCAATCCTCAAGTTCCAATTCCAACTATTAAAATTTGCTTGATTTTTCACCAGATTATTTAACAACTGTATTCCAGGATTTGCTGCCTAAAGTGTTGAATGTAATACAGCTGATGAAGTCATCCAACTTCATTTGGTTTCTTCCTAAAATATAGAAGAAAAATCCCAAACAGAAGAGCCAACTTCCAACAAAACTGTTTGCCTTTTATTCATATGTTTTTTAAAAATATCCACCCTGGCAGTCTCTGTCATTCCCTCTGCTCCTTGCCCTCTACAAATTCTTTTAGCATAAATTTGTATTTTTGTAATCGTTAGCCCTTTACAAAGCAGCCAATACATTCAACTAGAGTTAAGGTAATAACTTTCCAATGGTATAGGAAATTACAGCAGCATCATTAGGCTAATGAGTTTTGGCTAAAGAGTTCTTCCTTCTCAAGCAGAGCCTCAAGACGAAACATTTCTGTTTGTATCTCAAGTACTGGTAACAGTTTTTCCAGACATTGAACACATGACACTTCACCACGTAACCAAGAATATTCTGAAACAAAACAAGGTGGTTTGGAGGTTGCTGATGTGATGTCATTCTAGTGTCCCTCGAATGTCAACTTAAGAGTTGGAACTGTATTTTATATACCGAGGATTGCTTAAAACACTGAGCCTCCCAACACCCCAAGTGCTTCTCAAGATGAGCCTGTGGTGGAAACAATTTCTCGCTTTAAAGCAAGTTCCAGCTGATTTTCATGCTGATCATTAAACTCACCTTTCACTAAACTATCTCTGAGATTTTTTTTTTTTTTTTTGCAGTTCCTTAACCGGATAACCCTGGCCTTTTGGGATTGATTCATTCTCTGACCTTGAAAATTTGTATGAGGATCCCAGACTGGGTCACTCACCTGGGGAATGAAGAATTTTCCCCCTAAATTTCTTTTTCAGTATCCAAGGTAATGGAATTTGAACTTTGAAGTTGTCTCCTTGCTTTCTTTCATAACTGCTCTATTTTCTTATCAACCACACCATTACAAGAGTGAGGGGGGTGAGGACAGGAGAAAGCAGCTGAGGTTTGGGTCATGCTGCAGGACAGAGCAACTGGCTGTTCAGTGTCCCAGTTTTAAATCACAAACAGGTTCACAAAAGCTGCTGCTGGTGGCTGCTCTGGGCTTCCACACTGCCTTACACAGACAAACCTCTGCAGCCCAGCAGAGCTTTGCCCTGTGAGAAACAGAACTCAGGGTTAGCAGCAAAATTCTCACAATCCATTACTTCATTTTGGATGTGCCTTCAAACAGTAAGAGAACAAAGATTAAAACTACTGAGATATTCATCAGCCCTCACACCCCCCTCAGGACACATCTCCATGGCTCCACCTCAGCACCAGTCTGATTCTCATTAATACTTTGAGTTCTTCCACAGGATTTAGTTCTATCACCCAACCCCTAATTTGTCTTTTTGTGGAAGCTCTTCTGATCCTGCCAACAGCAAACTGAAAATGTAGCAAAAAAAGAACTGGAATGTGCCCCCCTGATGTGGCAATTCCTAACCCTGATACAGCTGCTCGGCCCTCTGCCAGCACTCTGGCATTTCAGTTGCAAGAATGATACAGTTCCAAAGTCACATCAAATACCAGAAAACTACAGATAGAAACATTGTACTCCACTATTAATAATTCACATAAAATTCACAGCCTAAAACAATGGTTTGCATGACAGAACAACAGAACTGAGAGAATTCCCAACATTACAGCCTCTGTCCTAGGCTTATCCTTCTCCAAACTTGATTAGTAGTAAATTTAAATAATTAATTAGCCAACTCATTCAGTGAAATGACTGGGTAAATTAAAGTGAAGAGATAAATTCACATTTTAATTTTGAATTTGCTTACATTTGTCTGCTGGTACCCCAGCATTAAAAAGCATATTACACAAAAATCCTTACTGTCACCATCTTATCCCTCAAAAATTTATCCTTCTCCGTATGTGGGACAATGGTCAAAGGTTTTATTTTGTTCTGTCATTCAGTAATTTTGAGTCAAACTTCCTAAGTGAAAAACAAAATTAGGAAAATTTGTAAGTTTGTTTTTTGGTGGATTTTTAATTATGTATTACATATTTGGTCAGTTATCCATGTTACAGAGGTATCAATGCTGTTGTTACCCTGGGGAATTCCCTGTTTTCCAAGAGACCAGACTAAGTTTATAGGACACAGAAGTCAGACAAAAACTTCCACCTTATTATTTTTGTGTTTAATGCAGTGAGAGATCTTATTTGCCTTCCCACCTCCTCCCATGTTATTTTTCCAGGTCAGATTGTGCTTTATACTGCACCCATTTTGCTCAGCTCAGTACACTGAAAGTAACCAGGATAAAAAGAAGTTTGAGCTCTTAATGAGAACCAAGGATCAAAACAATTAATTCCAAGGCCAATACTTCTGGCTCAAATTTTAGCAGTCTGTGCACTACAGCAAAATTCTGAAGCAGTTTTACCTACCCTGACACGCATCCACTCACAGGACTGAGTATGACCAGGATTAAAATAGGCTCACTCTTGGAATTTGTCTTGTCAGTCACCAGAGGGACTTTTCAGTGTCAGGCTTTCATCAGAGCTTCAGAAATCCCCTTTGTAGTTTATTTTATTTACAAAGACACTTCAAAGTTTGTCATAGAACAGGAAGATTTTTTTTCCCAGATGAATTTTCAGAGATAGCAAGCTGAGGAAGAAGGGCACAGTTTGGTTTTGGACTGCAAACAGACGTTTGCTTATAAATATTTTTACTGTTATACAAACCCAACATGTATTTTAGAGATGAGGACCTGCTCCTGTGCGAGATTTCCACTGATAGTAATCTATGGCCCCGATCCTGCTCATTAAAGTCAGTAGGAATTTTAACATCTGCTTCCATGGAAGAGGTCTTAGGCGTGCCAGCATTGTTAGGAATACACACAGCACATCAGGTACAGCTGGGGAAAGAAGAGAACTTACTCTCTTCCACAATGAGTCACATAATTTTATAACTTAGAACAACTTTACCACTCTTAAGACATTTGTATAGCACCAATCACCAAGAGCATTGTCACTAAGGCACTGGACTGGTACTCAGCTGTCACGGGCTCTGCCTCCAGGTCTAGGGTCAATCTTCTATGTTTATGTCTTTTGTTTTTACTGGCACATAACTTCTGACATTGGAAAATAAGATAAATAATACAAAACATCCTCCGTCATTTACAGGAACAACACAGCACGACGAATTACAAGGTGCTCAAGTTCTGAAACCATGAACATTAATAAATCTGTGCATAGATTTACTGGCAGGTGGAAATTACCCTGCAGGTATCAATTCTGTGCAGCACAGTGGAGCAGTGTTAGCTTCCCTTCCTCTGCAGTTAGGACATGCCCTCAGTTAAATCCTGCCCTGATGCCACGAATCAAAAGTTTTTAGATAAATGAAGAAAAGCCCTCAAGGACTCCTGTCTATGACAGCTGATCCAGGATGCCTTCCCAGGCTTTTGCATCAAAGTCTGCTCCTATCAACTTGCAGAGCTCCAGTTTCAGACTCTGAGAGCAGTTTTTGATGCTTTCAGAGGCAGCTGAATAATTTTTTAGTCTGTAGTGGATTTATCTCTCCACATTATTGAAAAAGAAAAAAATCTTTAGGAGTTATCCCTACTCTGCTGCACCACACTGAATGTGTGCCCTGATGCACAAATTACTAAAAGCTCTTGGGTTGAAATAAGTTACTGCAAATGCACAGTAGCTGATTTTGAAACCACAACATCTCTACAATTTATTATTATTTTTACAAAATACCCAAAGTGATCAGACCATATTGTAGGTTACTGGCTTGCCGAAGGTTGTTTTAAAATCAAAACCATTTCTGAGTTACAGAAGTGCCAAAAACAATCTTAAACCAGGTTTGTTTGTTGTTTTTTGTTGTTTTCTTTTTAAACCAACCCCCATCCAACAAAACAGTTGTATAACTTAAAACAGAAACAAGAGTTTGTGTTGGAAACTGTTGAAAAACCAACCCACCAAAATCACGCTTGAGCAGAAGCCTTGTATGGCAAAGATTCAGCTTAGGGCAGTTTAGTGCCAACCTGCCAACCCTCCATAGGTTTACAATGGAAATACTGACACAACCTCAACTACAGTGATGCAAATGTGCCCTAAAAACACTGTATTTGCTTTTATTAATAAAAGTGGTAGTGTTTACATTTGCAGGTATCTTACACTTCAGCATCACGATGAATACTGAGTAGAATGAGTTAAGTTTTGGCTGTAAGGTCAGAAGTTTCCAAACAGATGAATGAGACAGAAGTGACAGTCTTCAATCATGAAAACAAGAAGTTCAAATAAATAAATAAAACAAAACTAAGAAATATGGGTAAGCATTAGGTTGGAATGGTTCAATTAACTGCAAATTATGGCCACTAAATTAGAGACAGAAGAAAACACAGTTACTTATTAAATAGCAAGCATTAAAGCTTTATGGTTTTGTATTAAAAAAAAAAAAAAAAAAAAAAGGAAAAAGAAAGCTGTTAAAAATAAGACTTGCATTTACCAGGCCACCAAACTGCATGGACTAATAGAGACTAACAAAGGCAATACTGAGACATTAAGACACACACACGCTCTGTACTTGTGCAACTCAACCATATTCAAAACAATTGCCTTTTTCCTCACATAAGAAAAAAAAAAAAAGCATCCCCTAAACATATCTGTTCATATAAAGCTTTAGGTTTCTTAAACTGTTGCTGTCTTATATAGCTCATTGTTATTATGTGTCCTCCTCATCAGAGGAAAAAAGCTTATTTTGTTAATTTTCTTAATGGAGGTGCTTTGTTTCTCTCAGACAAGAGATTACATTCCTCACACCACTACAGGTTTTCTCCATTTATAAATTTGGTGTTCACACCAACTCCTCCTAGGCTTAAAAAGATAAGGGTTGGCACTAAAATAAAGATTTTGGCTCCTGTAACTAAAATTAAGGCTCACAATGAATTTCCTTTCCACTACATGTGTCCCATTTTTACCTAGTGGAAACGCCAGCCCTTCACCTACAGGCACTGGATACATTCTGAATTGGAGGGGCCTATTTTCAGTCATGTTTTCTACAGTTCTACAAAGTTCAGGTGGCAGCTGTCTAAACCTGTGAACAGGAAAGATCATTCTGCAAAGGTGAGTAACAACTGCAGCTAAAATTTTTCAACTATTCAGTGTTTCTGGAAGTAATTCTGAATTGAGATGGGACAGTAACTCCCTCACATCCCTGCTCTCCAGTGAAAATGGACTGTGTGATTCATTTTAAGACTTCAGCCACAAAAGCAAATGAAAAGTCACAATTCTGAACAGTTGCATTTCTTAACATTGAAAAGGCATCCGATACCTGAAGCAAATCTAGCTGCACAGACATCACTGACCACGCCCTCACTTGAATTTAAACTGCATCTCTTCCCAAACAAAGAAAGCCAACACGGTCTCTTGGGTGGAGGGAAGCTAGTGTGAAAGGCAAAGAGGCAAGAATTTTGGTGTTTTTGTTTCTTTTCCTTTTAAAGTCACTGCAGTTAAGATCCAGATCAGTTTAGGGGTGTAAATGAAGGGGGAACAGGGGTGTTTGAGTAATATAGGCTAACACTGTTCTAGATGTGTTATTACAGCTGTAATTTCTGACTCTGTACAAATTGTACACGTAGGTTTAGACACATGAAAAAGTAACACACTCACAGAGACATAAAACACCTAGGTATAAAATATAAAGCAGTGTAGTAGTTACTAAAATTACATGCTCTCTTATTGCTACAGTGATTTTTGCTCTTTTTTCTTTTTACTGTACCACATGTTGTTCTAAGCATATAATTTGCATAAATTATTCAAGTTTAAGAAAAAATCCACACATCTTCACTTTTAAGCTACTTATATAGTTAATATAAAACAAAAAAAAAAAAGGTTCTAAAGTATCTCTTTATTAAAAGAGAAATAAAAATGTCGTTTGAAACTGGAATTCAGTGGCCAAATCCGAGGGCAGTGCACACCTTGTCATTCCGGTAGTCGTTGCCCACGCAGCGCAAGCCAAGGTTGGTGGGTATTTGGCCCAGTCTAGAGATGGTCACCAGACCTGCATGATGCCCTACGTGTCTGTTATTGTTCTGGTTTTCTTTTTTTTTTTCTTTTTTGTCTTTAGCAAAAATAGGACTATGAATGACCAAAGACTAACATTTATAATTTGTAGCAAAATTTGGTTTTATGTAGAAACAAGCCATGTTTTGCATTTGGATAGAGATTTAAATGAATTAAAGCTAAAAATTAAAAAGCACGATGCTGCAACATCTGGTCACTTGTTGAAGACCTCACTTTTAAAGTGGTTAAGTTTGCACAATTTGTACTTTTTTCTTTTTTTTTTTCCTTTTTTTCCTTTTTTTTTTTTTACTAAACAGTATTTTTCCTTCTTTTATAAACCAGAAAAACTAAACTACAGATAAATTTTCCCTACCTTGAGCTAATGCTGCAGATAGGGTTGACAAAGCTGTACAGCGCAATCAAACATACTTACATCTTAGCTCATTGTACAGGTACAGCCATAATCAAGGCACAAAGATCTTCTACAAGTTATTTTCAATAAAGTTGTACAAAATAATACATTTTACAGTCTGTACAAGAATAATAATCCAGCAGTAAAATAAAAAATGAGGGAAGGGAAGAAGAAAAAGAAGGGAAAGACTGTGAGGACTACAGTCTAGATAATGATTTTTAGAGCAGACAGGATCATCAGTGGACAAACTGAAAACAGTGTGTGGTTAACTCTTTCTGCAATCACAGGCCATACGCAGTTCAATTCATAAATGTCCATGGTTGTCTTTAGACCACCAAGACTGGTTTTAAAAATACCCTTCTGAAAGGTAGCAGTTGGTTTTTGCACTGTCTAGGTCTGTTGGAGAATTGTCAGTATTTCCGCCCAAAGCCACATTACAGTCAGAGAACCAAACTCAAGGGTCTGTCTTCAAACTTGGTCTGTGACTTGGCACCTTCGTTACTCGGATGCAGTGAGTGATACAAAGTGGAGATCACGGGTTATAGGATTATGCCCACAGCAGTGCTAAATTACCTAAAGTTTTCTCTCCCCCAATTTTGTTTCAACGTTTTAATTTTTTCACCCCCAATTCTTTCAGGTGCTCCACATTCAGGGCTTTTAATTAATTAGGTTTTATTTTTTGTTTGTTTGTTTGGTTTGTTTTTTTTCTCTCTCTCTTTTGTTAATAACAGTGTTAGGGAATCCTCATGGAAATGGCCTTTTAAGTGTTAGGGGCCATCTCAAACTGTCCGAGGGGTACAGAAGCAAGCTTAGAAGTGCTGCTATTGTCCAGCAAGGAGAAAAAGTTGAGGGGTGCAAATCAATGGGAGATTCAAACAGTTCTCTTCCACCCTATGTGGGCAAGGGTGTTTTTTTCTTTTTTTTTAATAAGGAATAAGGAGTCCAAAACACAGAAAAAAGTGCTCTCCATCACAACAACTCGTATTGGCGAAGGTGCATGCGCTGAATAATGTCCCGACAGTCATTGAAAACCCTCCGGATGTTCTCTGTGTCCACGGCACACGTGAAGTGAGGGTAGCAGTAGTGCCTTCCATCTCCACTTGCTGTGCTGATTCTCTGTGCAGAGCAAGAGACACACACTGGGTTAAAATGAAAATCCCCACTGGGGGAACCCCAACCCGTCCCCAAAGCTTGGCTGAATGAGGGTGAGGTGTGCACGTGTGAGCTGTGCCTTCAACAAGTGCAACTGAGTGGCAAAATGCCCACAGACTTTTCACCTGAAATGTGACATTCAAAATGATCAGAATTATACGGTGAGCTGGTCACTGCAAGCTGGGGAATTTCAGAGAGGAATGAGAACTCAGGAAAATATCATTATTTATACGCAGCTTTGGTGGATTTAGCAACACAACTCCCAGTCCATTTGACCATGAAAAAAGCAGGATTTTGCCTCCCTGTATAAAGCTTTTATCCCTGCTTTACAGAAAGCCTCCCTCAACTTTTTGTTTTACCCTATTTTAAAATGAGTCCACAGTTTGATTGCCAGGCTCACCATTACAAATAATTGTACAAATAAACAATAGTAAAAAAAAAAAAAAGTCCATTATAGCTTCAGCTGACCAGTAATGGGAAAGATATTACAAAAAGGACATTAATATCTGACAAATGAGGCATCTCTTGAGTAGTCTCTATCTTTAGAAATAATGCAGGGAATAAAACTCTGGCCCCATTAGTAACAGCAGGACTTCAATCATCATTCTATTTGGGGTTTCTTAATTCTCACCAATTCTTTTACTATTTAATTAAGTACAAATATCCAAAAAGCAGCTAAGAAACAGTAGTAAAGCTCATAAATAATGGTAGATGCAGTGTGGATGTTAAATACAAACAACATAAGAAGTGACAGCACTTTGCAATAGCAGAAGGTGAGCAAGAGCTTGGGTTTGAGAAGAATCACAGAAGAAATAGGCAAAGAAAGGAAATACTTACAAGAAACTCGTCTCTAATAAAATACTTGGCCCTTGTAACTCTGGGATCCTCACCAGGCTCTGGTGTTGCTAATTAATAATAAAATAAGCATCTTATTAACAGGTGTTTTCTGGTAATAGCACCTAAAAATCTCAACTTGTTCTGCTTTCTGCTCACATATGACAGAAATACACTTGGCAGAACTGACTGTGAGACAAGACAAACCATAACATTATTTAAACCAGCAGGATTTCAGGAGAACAAGGGAATATTACAATGGCCACAGCACCAGGCATTTGGCAGGTAAGAGAAATGTCCACAGGCAGCATTAGGGGGAGTCCCAGGGACACATTTGTGACAAAATGTCAGATTGTGATCTACACCAAAGTAAAAGGATTTTGTCACGATGAAATGATTAATATATTAAATGTTTAAGAGGCAGGAATCTCTCATTATTAATACCTTATATTAAACATTACAATTTGGCTAAAAGACATTGATGATTACATCTACTAAAGAGTTTTCAAGTCTTTGCTGAAGCTACCAAAACCATCACGAATGTGATTAACAAGAAAATGAAAAATTGCAAACAAAACTTAAAAATCTTACCATCATCTGGTGTAGTGTAGCGAGCAAATTCTGGAAAGTAGTCTTCAATTTTAGATTTCCCTGCCAAAACTTTCTCTGCTAGCAAATCTTGTTTATTCAGGAAAAGGATTACTGAAATGGTCCGTAGCCACCTGTGGAAAAGGGAAACTAAACACTGTTAGGAGGCACAGCCCAGATCATACAAAAACTTAAAGTTAAGTCACACAACACGTCTGGGGACAAGGTCCTGTGACACACTGGAATGATTTGGAAAGGTTCCCTTTATACCTGAATCCCAAGGGTATAATTGCAGGTGTGCACACCCTGAGGGTGCTCCCCACTTTGTGCTGTTAATCCAAACCCATCCCAGGGAACATTCCCACCTCCCAGAGCACTGCTCCATCACTACTTTAATTACTCCAGTCTCAATATGGCAACCACCAATTAGTAGCTGTGCAGAGCTGTTTGTAATGATCTGAGTGTAATAAATGTCAGAGGTGGGAGGCTGTGACCAAAGAACCAGCCCAGACTGCGCCAGGAAATGTGAATAACAGAGCCCCCCGTGCTGTTAACCCTGGTGGGCAGCCAAGCACCACACAGCTCCTCACTCACCTTCCTCCTCAGGGGGTGGAGGAGGAGGAAAAGGAGAATTAAAGCAAAAAAATCTGGGGGTCAAGATAAAAATATAATTGATGACTGTTTAATTAGGGAAGGGTAAGTGAGGAGAAGACAAAACAAGTGATGCAAAAGCAATCACTCGCCACCTCCTGTGGACAGACCAATATCCAGCAAGCTGGGTAACTCCCCAAAATCCCCTCTTTTCCCCCTTACTGCAGAGAATGATGTTATGTGGCATGGAGCACACCTCTGGCCAGTTTGGATCTGCCCACCTGTGTCCCTCCCAACAGCCCTGAGGATTCACTGCAGGAACAGAGTGAGGAACAGAGAGGGCTCTGCACACACTGCTCAGCAGCATGAGTGTGTTATCAGCATTGTTTTGGGCAAAACCCAAACCACAGCACTCTGTGAGCTGTTCTGGAGAAAATGAACTTTGTCCCAGCCAGGCCCCTCCGTGAGTGCAGTGTGAGGCAGGATCAGCAATCTCAGTGAGAAGAGCCTTTCACAGACCTGTTGTTCCAGATACTCTTGAAGAGGTTTAGTGCTTCCTGCAGCCGGTTGGTCTGATTGTCCTCTCGTATCACCATGTTGTAGCTACTGCTCGCCACCACAAATATGATAGCAGTCACATCTAAACCAAGAAATACCCTTTAGTTAATGCCAAGCTTCAGAAGAAATACCCAGGAATCATGAAGTTCAGTCAGAGGCTGCCAGATTTTCAGCTCCCTGCAGAGAACAGGCCAGGATGCTGCTGCTGACAGCTTTTTAAGTACCAGGAGTCAAAAAAGAAAGTGAAGAAACCATGGAAGAAAGGCAAAGCAGGCCCCAGAACAGAAGGTGACAGAATGACAGAAAATGTAGGAAAGAAAGGAACTGGACCAAGAGAGAGAAACTGAAGAAAGCCAAGAGGGTAATTTAGAACAAGTAAAGAAAATTGGAAACAACAATGAGCTATCAGGAAAGGACAGGGAGGTCCTTGGGGGAAAACCTCAAGAAAAACAGCACTTTTGATTTCTGTAAAGAGAAGTAAAAACAGCAGCAGACTGCAGTGAATTTATGGGTAGCTGCAGTGGTCCCCCTGTAGTGAGTTTTACTGCTTAGAGCCCCGTGTCTTCCCTGGGAGGCATTCCCAGGATCACAGGATCAGCATCCCTGTGCTGCTCAGTCCCTCACTCTGCCTGCCAGGCTCATCCACCTCGGGCACAGCAGCAGAACAGATGAGTCAGACCATGAGGTAACAGGAAGAGGAAGGAGCAGAGGTAAAACCCAAACAAATCTGTCACTAACAGCACAGAAGAAAATACTGCTCAGTCCTTCCACACACAGTGTCCAGGTGATTCTGTGACAGGAACTGTAGTAATGTACCATGAATTCCAAGTTGCATTCTGCTTTATTTATTCTCTAGGATCTCGCTGTAACTTTTCTAAAAAAAAGGTGGACTTTTTTGTGTAACTTCATTGCTATTTTGTCCAAACAACAAAGAAGAGAAAATATTTTCACCAAGTCTAGGTTTACGAAAACCTGTGTGGAAAAAAGCTTCTCATCTAAGCAGATACAGAGTAAAACAAAGAGCTGCAGTGAAGGTACCTGTCACACTTCAGGACAGACACAATCTGCCTAATTGCAGTCATGTGGGAATTAAACCTGACCTGAACTCACGGGGACACTGGTGTTAAGAGACTCCAGCTCTCACCAGATGTGTCTAACCAGAACCAGACAGATGCTCCCTACAGCCTCATTCTGCATTACTGGGCCAGTGCTGATTCAGAAAGAAGCACCACAACAGAGCCAAGTGGCTGCAATTATACACAAAAATGTGATAATCTGATTTTATGCATGTAATAATTACCCTGTATTTTGTATTTTGCACAGGCACATCTGTATGTAAACCTGTATGTGGAGGACAGAACATGGCTTGGAGTTTACACTCTCACTACTGGCAAATAATGCACAAAGCCACCTCAAAAAATATTTGATTAACTGAAGAGAGGGAATCCAAAGAAATGGACAAGCTGAAGTTATCAAATTCCTCTCCACCTGCATTCTCCTTGAAGATGTTCTATGTAGTTACAGGAGCTTACATGTCAAGAAAAAATTCAATCCTGTGTGACTGTTAGATAACTCCTTATTAAGCTACATAGAAAGATGAAGAAGTTCTCACACACATGAGAAAATGAAGATTAGGCACTACAATTCTGCAGAGAACTATTTTATAAAGCCACCAGAAATTCTAATCCTACCATTAAAACACTGGATCCATTTTCGGCGTTCATCTCGTTGCCCTCCAACATCAAACATACTAAAAAAAAACATAAATCAGTTAGTCAGAATCATTTTGTGCTGGGTTTTTTTGTTTGTGTCTGCATGCAAACAGAAAAGGGAAGAAACTTTAGGACTTCTGTGTTACAGAAATTAAAGGGAAATCTTGGATTACAAGAACTTGAATAAGTAAGCAGTCCATGAACACATGCATGCAGAGAAAATAGATGTAGAAGATTTTGTTCTTTGTGATTTAAAATAAAGTACACCAATTTGCATTTCATTTTCAAGCCAGACTACTAAATTAAAAACAAATAAAATACTTCCTTTCTATTAAACACTGATACTTGAGAAATACAGTAGGCCCAAGAATATATGGTAGGCTCTCCTCCCAGTTTACCTTGGTATTTGTCTGTGTTGTATTAAAAAAATGTAAAAACATAAAAAAAGAAAAGAATTATACTTACTGAAAATTTACTTTATCCACCTGAAACTTGGTTTCAAAAATTCCTGATGTCAAAACTCTGCATCTGAGGAGATCCTAAAGCATAAAGGGAAATGCATTGATTCAACACAGAACAGATACTTGGTGTGTTTCCATATATCCAGCAATGGAAATAAACCCCTTTTTTTTCATGCTGTACTACAACACCAAGCACTGGAATGTTCAGTGCCACAGAAGCATGATGGAAATCTTCTAAGGGATGTAACCTTGTACATAATTTATGTGTATAAACATAATCCAAAGGATAAAGCCACTTTTATTTGAAATACTAAAATGTACAATGCATGGCAATACCTGAAATGGCAATTACAAAATTAATTAATTACCCCCAAAGAGGAAGGGGGCAGATAAATTGTGTAATTTCCTCAAAAAATCTCCATGTACCTGGTCAGATGGGGTGTACTCGTTCTGTTTGACTATGTCAATCTTGTCTAGAAAACTGGAGAAAGGAAAAGAAAAAAGAGAAACTCATTATTCTCAAATCAGACAAACTTTCTGATGCTTTAGTAACTGACAGTTCCCAGGTAAATTCTGGTGCATTTTAATGCCCTCAGGCTCACAAAAGGATGAAAAATCTCATGCTGGAAAGGCAAAATTTGTGTTTTTGTGCTCAGGAGGAGCGCTGCCAGCAGCAGCCAGCAGAGGGATGAGAGCAGCAGCGGATCCATCTGGGAATGCCAGGGAGCCCCTCCCGCCACAAACACCCCGGCAGTTTAATTTAGGTCATTTATTCACACAACGTAACCTGCTGCTTATTCACGGTGAAGCAATGACTCAAGCAAATTGCCCACATGTACTTCCCCTGAAAGTAAAATGAGTATTTTTTAAAACAACTTATCAACTCTATAGTTCTTTAGATAAACGAAAGCCCTAAAGCAATTTCAGTACAGGTTCAGTTAAGTGAGAGGGGACACTGATTTTTCAGTCAGCTGCTGCATCAGTGTTTCAGTTACTTTCTGGAGCAGCAGCATTAGTTGGCTAAATGGGTAATAAAAGATATATTTCAGTCAAATTCATTAGGCACTACCTACAGATGATAACTCTGGAGTATTTATTTTTTTTATCAATTAACTATAGCCTCATAATTATCTTTCATTTCAACTCAAAGAGCAAAAATCTCAGGGAGTTAGTGAATTCTGCTTTGTTGTGGTGGCAAACCAGCAGCTCAGGATGCAGATTTTATGGTGTTTGCCCCAGTCCCACTGCCCAACCAAGTCCTCAGCCAGGTGCCCCCTGGCTCAGCCCTTCCACTTCAGCAGTGCATTAATGCCCCTAACATTAACCATTAATCAGCCTTTAAACCAACAGGCCTTGAGCTCCTTTGGAAATTCCTCTGCATGAATTGTTTTCTCTCTGAAGCAGGAATCACAAAGGGAAAATAAGTTTTCCCTGCCTCTTTAATGTGCACTAACAACAGTCACAGCTTCAACGGGGGAAAAGGGAGACCTGTCCCAGATTCACAAATCAAAAACCCAAAAAAATTGCCATTAAAACCACCACACAACTCAGCCCCAGTTTCAGCCCAAAAACTTCCTAAAACACCTAATGAGAAGCAGGGAAAGGGAAAAAAATAATCCTGTATTTTCACAACTGCATCAGTGCAATGCCCTTTTCTAGAAGATCTTGCTTCAGAGACGCACGAAAATTAATTTTTGTTTAGACTGAATTACAGAATTTTAAACATATTAAAATGTATGTTAAGTTAACACGCTACAAAAACACATGAGACAAAGTGCAAAGTTCAATTTCCATCACGGAACGTGACATGGCCACAGACTCACAAGGATAAAGTGGTGACAAACTGTGCTCTGCAATTTGCAAGCTGGATTTTTTCCTCATATCTTCCAAGCTGTTAAGTCATTTTTTCTTTCTTTTTTTTTTTTTTTTTTTTTAATCCGAAGGGAAGATATAAAACTCTGTGTTCAGTACACAGAGGATGTTAAATAAGTACAACAGCCCTGAGTTCCAAGTAGCACGAGTGTTTCCACCCCATCCTCTCCCCTCAGAGCACAGTTTCAGAATCACGTGGCAATTTCACAAGTTGGAGGATGCTTGAAAAATGTTCCGAACAGAACATGTTCATCAAGATACAAAGGTGATTACTGCAATCACCCAGTCTTTCTGTATGAGTTTATCCAAGCAGAACATTTTATGCTGGGTTCCACAAGAGGTGGGTTTTTGGTTCGGGGTTTTTTTTTTCTGTTTTGTTTTATTTTTAAACGCTCTGCTAATCAGCTTAATGGATTTTGGAAAGTGAAAACTAGAAAATAACAACAAGATATTGCTAAAACCTGGAACTGAAAGTACAAACCTCTTACTGTTGTTTATGCAGACTATTTTTAGGCCTATGATTTCCTTGAAAAACATGAGCCACATAGGAGCAGTAGTACTGTACTAGAGATGAATTCCAACAGCAATGCTCATGCCAGGTAAAACAAGTTCCAATGGAATAAACATTTCTTCTTCCCCCCAAAACAAGCTCCCAACATTCAGCAACATCTGACACTCCTAACAATGCTCCCTGGAGAAGGAAGTCTTTCACTGTGAGACAGTCACCAGAAAACCCCTCCTGCTTCCAGGGCATTTTAGGGAAAATGGAACACAGTGATACGTTCCATGAAGATTTTTCCTTGTGCCTTTCATCAAACTCTGCTCCAGCAGCTTTAGAAAGGGCTAAAGGCATTAAAAAACAGTTTGATTTTTTGCTCACGTGTAAAGAAAGAGGATTGTTCTTTCAGTTGGTCAATGTAAAAATAAATGTGAGGAGAAAATGGGAGCAGAAATTTGATCTGCTCTGATACACCTAAAATAAGGAGCAACAGCAGGAGCATGAAAGTTCAGAAAACATCAATACACTGAATTCAGAGACTTCTCAGTCAATGTTAGTCAAAACCAAACAATTTATCCAGTAAATTAAACTAATAATCCAGTCAGATGAGAACAAAGCCCAATTCAAAATAAACACAAATTCACCATCATTAATTTCTATTTTTAATTCTTGCTATGCTCTACCCAAAACATAAGTGAGGCCACTTGAGTACTACTTTGTGTGCCGAATTCACTGCTGTGAGAGATTGTTCTAAGCCTACTGGAGATGTGCCCACCATCTACTGTGTCAGCAGTGAACTTACAGGGAGAAACAGAAGTGACCTTGATGAAATAATTCACATAAAACTGTCAAACCACAAAACCAAATTTTATACTGCGAGCAAGCCTTGAACCAAGTTACAAAGTTAGTGGTTTTTTTTTTGTTCTGTAAAATCTTCCCAGAGATTATATGGAAAAGCTATTTTCCAGAAAGCAAATAATTCATTCAGCATTGCTGCCAATTCTCACTTTGGGCCACATTCTGGACATGACTAAATAACAGGATCAGCTACTGCTCTGCAAAATTCTGTCGCGGAGTAAGAGGCTCTTTTGCCTGTGTTATAAAACATTGATACAGCTCTGACACAAAAAAAACCCCAAACTCAAAAGACTTCAGGTTATTTGTAGTCAGCAACACTGAGAGGAAGCATCTCTAGGACAGCACCAGTTGTGTCTCTGAGATATTAAAATGAAATGTATTAACAAAAAATCAAAACAATCTGAAATAAAAAAACATGCTGCATTTTTGTGTCCTCTTTTTTAGGTTAGGGAAGGAAAACCACACACAAAGTGTTCCAAGCAGATTTTTGTGACAAAGAAAGTCTCTTTAATTTTAAGGGCAGATTCACAGAGAGCTACACAGAGGCTTTCCTTAGCTCCAGCAGGTCTAAGTAATTAGGCCATACATGTATCTTCAATCTTTCCAAGTTTTAACTAAAATCTATTACATCAAAACCATGTCCCAATTTTCAGATGAAGATATAATGCCAGCAGCTGAGTTATTCTGGAGTTCTTTCATCCAGAGAGAGCTGCTGTATCCCTATGGAGGGAATTTCCTGAATGAACAGAGCTGCTGACAGACAAAGACCTGCAGCTTGTTCTCCCTGCTGGAAAGGTGTGTGACACACGAAATCTTCCACCTCACAACCAGCACAGCTCCATGGCTGGGGCAGCACGGGAGGGGAGCTCAGGCTGCCTTTCCTCCTTTCCTCCAGCATTTCCTGACAGCCTGCTCAATAAACAGCAGCCGAAATGTTACTCTCTCTCATCTGACAAAATGGTTGGCACACAGGATTTTTTTTTTTTTTTTAACTGCTTTCTGAAGAAGCGCTTTTGTTTTCAGCCTACAACAACACTGGAAAGGTGTCTTAATCTGACAACACACCTATATTTGAAGTGCTTTATTTCCATCAGGTTTTTTTTACTGGTCAAGTCATGACTTGAATTTCCATATAAAATGTCTCCCTTAAAAGACACAATTAGATCTCATCTTCAGTGTCAGCAAGATACTTAATGAAATCAAGATTTCAATCCCAACTAAAGACAACATTTGTTTATAACTTATACGCCTCAACAGTAGCACTGAAACTCTGCATTTGTGAAGTTCCTGGATTTTAGAAAGCCTCAAGATATTTCAGACAGTAAATTAGACTTCCAGCTCCTGCCTGCCTTCTCTGAGGCTGCATTTCCTGCCTCCACCATCACACCCCAAAATGCACACATGGCACAACCCTATTTTAAAGGCAGGCACACTGAGTAGTTAATTGCCACAAGTCCCTTGAGTCAGTGGAAATGATTTTCCATTTTTCATTTCCACTGAGTCATGTGTTTCTACCAAGATATTACTAAGAACCCACCAGAATTACTAAGAATTATCAAGATTTTACTAAGAATTATGCTGGCATTTCCCATATCACCTCTAAAACAGTTTTCCAATTCAGGTTTCTACGACCAGAAAGAAATTAGTATTTTTTTACTGATCACCCCAAAGACCAAACTGTGCAGTGGATTTTTATTTACCTACACGCTATCAGAACTACAAAGTACTACTTAAAGTAGTTTTAAGCTGAAATTTAACTCAACATAAACAGTGTTTATTGTAAACAAGAGTGCATTTTTAATTTTTTCAGAACCATTTATTTTTTCAGACCATGCTTTACTACTGCTTTCCTGCCTTTTTAGTCCTTGCCATAATCCTTTATGTTATTCAGCAAAGCTTTCTAGAAGCTCTGCAGTTAACTATTTGGTAAATTCTTTCTTCAGCTATGTTGTCTATGCTGAGCCAGAGATATAGGTTGAGTACAAAGATAGAAAATTCCCTTTTAAAAGGGTATTTGTGTATGAACAAATTGACTGTCCTCAACTCTGTCCCTTTCTGCTGCTCAAAGCAAGCAGGGGTGGAGAGAGGAGGGAACCCTATTCCTTAAACTGGTGATAAAGATTTCAGCTGATCTATTTTGCAAGAGGAGCAGAACAGCAGGCAGAGTTACAGGAATGATGCAAATAAAACAGGCAAATGTTCAATTTGCTGGTATTCAGCATGTGAAACCAAATTTGGCAGGTTTTTCCTCA